TTAAAGCCAAAGCTTTAATTTAGTTTTTCATTATTGTTTTTTGTTTTTATTTAATTTTGTTTAATGTTTATTGTTTGTTTGACATAAAACCCTTTGATCCACCCAGATGCCGTATTTTATTTTGCTACTTTTTCAGCAGTTCCTGAGCAAATTATTATCTTAAATTAATTTGAGCATAGTAACAACAGAAAATTTGAGATAAAAAAGTATCTGAAAATCAAGTACAGCAATAAATGCAAAAAAAAAAAAAAAAAAAAATAATAATAATAATAATAACAGTTGGATTGGCTAAAGATTATTTTCTAAAGTCATTGAGGAGTAGGAAATTAGATGTGATCTGAAAAATCTAATATTTTTGATCTAATCTAATATCTAGATCATATGCATTTGTGATATATAAAATGTGTGAAACTCAAGAAAAATTTCTGCAGTACTCAAATGTATCTATAAGATGCAAAAGTATCTAAAAGTTTAATGCAGTTTTCAGTGAAAACAATAGAAAATTCGAAGGCAATATAATCACCTAATTGTACCAGATTTTATGTAAATTAGACTTAAACTATATAAAATATATGACCATATAAAGTCTGGTACTATTAGGAGATTATAAACAACTTTTCAACTATACGAAGTATTTGTTAAGATTTGACCCGCTTCAGTTATTATGATTATTTTTCTGCAAATAACTCTAGAACTAGTTAGTCTATTTCATCCAACTCTCCCATCTCTTAGATACCAAAGAGAAGAGCGAAGCCTTTGGCTCCAGCCTGTTGCTATCGAATTCGCCGCTGTCGCCGAAGGTCGTAAATGGCTCCTTTGCGGCCATCTTCGATGCGGACGAGTTTCTGGCCAAGACCTACGCGGGCATACGCATAGCGGTAAGTAGAGCCGCTGCTTAAACTCCTGCCTGGACTCACACTCACGCCTGAGCAATGCTTGCAGCATCAGGAGTCGCCGTCGACGCGCCGTCGAGTGCGCGGCATTCTCATGTCGGGCAAACAGTTCTCGCTGGACTCCCACATGGATGTGGCTGTGGTGCGCACCACACTGGACCCGAACAATTGCGACGATGACGGAGCCGGGCACAGTGCCGGCCAGGCTGGACAGGTGGCCGGGCAGGCGAGCATACGCGAGGATGTGGACAATGAGGAGTCCGCCGCGGAAGGTATGAAGCGCAGGTAGCGTAGTCAGCCAGTTTAGCTCTATTGCCAGTGCCAAATGCTCGATTTGCTTCTTAACACAATTGAATCTGCTGCTGCCTCTTCTTCTTCTTCTTCCTTCTATTGATCTCTTGCCATTTCCGTTCAGAAACTGAGCTGCTGGAGCTGTGCAAGCGCAGCGGGAGCAACCCGACAAGCAATAATCCAATGCAGTCAAGCAGCTATAGCTACAATTCCAATTCCAATTCCAATCACAATCACAATGCCACGCCCGCCAATCACTTTCGTCCGATTGCCCTGTATACGCCGCAGTGCGGCCAGCCCCTGAGCTTGATCATGGACAGCGCCGGTCATATGTACCATGGCAAGCGGTTTCTGGAGCCCGTCAGCAGCCTGATCGACAACAGTTCCTTTACCAGCAGCATCAATCACCAGCCCACGCCCATTACGACGCCCATCACGACGCCCACGGAGGATAACGACTGGCCGGCGAAGACGTTCAGCCAGCTGCTGCTGGAACGCTATGCCAGCTCATCGTCGCGCTCTCCGGACGCCTCATCCACGGACAGCAGCAGCCTCAGCCTGGCTGCCGCCGTCACGCCCACACTCAGCCGCCTCAGCAGCCTCAACGATCTGGCCTCCCCGCTGCTCGGCTCATTTGCATCACAATCGCAGCCACTGCAGTCTGCTTTGGGCGCATCGCGATTCAGTGACTCGGATGCGACCATTTGCTCAGCTGCCTCATCGCTGGAATCCTTATAAAGACAAACATTAACTATAATATAAATACTATATAAATATAATCATAGAAAAGAATATTCGAAAGAACAATCCTTCACTGCTGTGCAATCAATAATCGTAGTTACAATTCGCGTCTATATATACACACACACATATGTACAAGTATCTGTATCTGTATCTGTATCTATATCGGAGAGCGGAACCTAACAGTAGTCCCATGTATTATAAATGTATTGTCAAATGTTGCAAAGCTTAAATTCGATACTAGCCTAACCATATATACATATGCATATAATAATATTCCTATATAACAGCATTCTACGTACTCTCTGCCTATATATTAACATTCATATATTCTGTATCTGTACATTTGTTTTACTCCTCAATGTGATTAAAATTTCAGTGTTAAAGTTAAACAAGAACTAAATCGTTTTAGAATTTCATGCTTTGTATCTTAAAGATACATTTGATACAAAATGTTTCTGAATGATGGTAGAACATGATGTATGATATAAAATGGACTTTTCAACTGGTCCATCAGTAACTATGGCACACCGACTCTGCTTTGTCCATAGCTTGCTAAAATAATGAAAGAGAAAGAGAGAGAGAGAGAGAGAGAGAGAGAGAGAGAGAGAGAGAGAGAGAGAGAGAGAGAAAGAGAGAGAACACCACTGGAATAGAGAATCTCACTGTATACTCACCATGATCAAAAGTAAGCTTGGATTAGGTAGGCCCATGCAGCATGAATATAAAAGTGGAAAAAGGTAATACTAAAAATATCACACTAAAAAAAAGTTCGAATTTCTTGAAATTTTAAGTTAAAAAATAAAATTTTTGAATTTAATTCGTTATTGTTTTCAATTGTATAGCTTCTTTAATTTGTACTTGCAGGCATTAGACTGCAAAGACTGGAAATAAAACTCTAGAACAAAAGTTCAGCGAGTCATTGAGGATTGGAGATAAAAAGATGATGATGATATTAACTAATTACAAGAATCTTAATATAAAAAGTTTCTCTTTCATACCAATTCAATGGCTGACTGAGCACCTTATTTGTCATCAGCTTTTTTCGAGGAAATGCACTAAATTAATTACACTTTAATTTAGTAATGCGTTCCGACTTTGTGTTTATCTTCGGAATTTCTGTATGATATGATATTACAATAGTTAAAATAATTAAATAAATATTAAACAGAGGCACAGCAAATAAAAAGCATATTCAAAATTTTAACGATAAATAATATGTATATTATATTATTAAATTAATTTTCAGTTAAGGAGCTGCCCTTTCCATAAACTTTAAGCTCATCTTTGACCTTGGCAAACAAAACAAATTCTTATTAATAATAAAATAGACATTGGATATTGATCAGTAACTAAATGAATAATTTGTGAGCTTTAATTATTTATATAGCTTTCCAAACTGATAACAATTTGTACGATGAACTAAATGCAGTTAAGACAAACTGAATGGACAACGTGGAGCATATTGTTAGATAAAGCGGAATCCTTCTGCAGCTGGAGCTGCTGCAGGTGCAGCTGGAGCTGCTGCAGGTGCAGCTGGAGCTGCTTCAGGTGCAGCTAGAGTTGTGAAATATACTGTTGTTGGTGGTGCTTCTGTAGTTTGTCTGCCCCTCTTGATAAGCGGAAATCGAACTTGCACATAGAATGTTAGCAAGAACAAGACAATAAAATCGTAGAAGAGTATTATGGAAGCAAGTAGATAATCATTCACCCTTAACTCCGCAAATCGTCCGCCGTTAATGGTCTGAGCGTGATACATGACAAACTGGAAGAAAGGCAGAGAGAGATAGAGATTGAGAGTGGGAAAGAGATAGAAGATAAATTATCAAACACTTACCGTCAGAATTATAACGCTAACGAATATCTGATACAGGATGATCGAATGCGATGTACGGCTCATTAGATGCAACATTATCAGAAAAACGGAAACAATTAAGAAGATAAATGATATGACAAATAATATAACGACATCAAGGGTCAGATCATGCTGATGAAGGTCAAATTAGAGGGTAAATTCACAATTTCTTTTTAAAGTTCTTTTTGTTGCATTTGTCACTTACCGGCAGAATCGAACCCACTAGTATGGCAAGGAAGAAGACAAGGAGACATATTAGATACCATAAGAGTAGTTCGGGCCATCCCGATCGGGGGCACAGCGCAAATACTCCCAAAATTGCAAATTCCATCTGATAGATCCAATCACACACATATACATACATATGCAACACAAAATACATATAGACGACTAGTACTCACAATTAAAATTGCCAAGATCCAATTCAGAGCGATCATAGTACGAGCTTTCTCCACAAATATAAAGATGATGGCTAGTATTACCGAAAGCGAAAAGAATATTCCACTAATAAAGTCATATTCCATAAATGCTAGACCGAGGCTTCCACTGCAATAGGTAAATACATACATATATCTACATATTGTTCGATTTCTCTGTCCACTTACACAAATACAACGGCCAGCCATTGACCGAGACCCAGCAGGAGTGCGACAAGAGTCATCATATAAACTATTGCCACGAACTTTCGTCGGCTTTGTTCAGAGTTTCCAGCGTTATCTCCCATTTTTGTAAATCAATTCTCCTCTCCTAGACATATACAAAGAATTTATGCGCGCCTATATAAAAATATACCTAAAAAAAAAAAGGTGGCGGGATGTAAAATTAAACGAATACAACGAATTTCTATGTTAAATGTCACTTAAATCTAGGTATGTTTGATTCCCCTGCAAAGCGATCGAGAAAACAAAATAGTTTACGAATAACCAACAAATCTTGTGAGGAGATGAATACAAAGATGTTTTTAGAAGGTTTCAGGGGATGATATACCTTTTCCGGGAGCTCATCGTGATTCAAGCTGTTCCTTAGGATTTGTTCAGACAGACATCATAACATATCATATATAGATACTTATATAATTATATTCCTGGAACACATAGACATAGTTCAATGCAGAGTTATATTGTTTCAGACATTAGAAGGTGTGGTAGTTAGATAAAGTGTGGCAAATTATAGATACGATGGATCTCATCAGGTTTGACTCCTGACAATTCTGTATATGTTTCAAGTATTCGGGGTATATCGTAGTCGGGCACTCTCGACATGTTTCATCTTGGCTGGCGTTTTCTTATCTGTTTAAATTTTGAATTTCTTGTTGGCGTTGAACTTAATACTAAAATTGGATAGTTGCTTTCAAAAATAAACAAAATTAAAATTAAAATATTATCCACAAATGGATATCAGTGAGAGTGCAGCTAAGATATCTGGCAAAAAAAAGCTGAAGAAAACGTATATTGTGACGATATTGATGCTGTTACTCGGCCAATTTCAGGTCATAATCGTAATGGAGATGTGAGCACGAGACTTGGTTTGATCAAATTTTCCTAATCTAATTCTAATGTCTCCTGCAGTGACCCACTGAAGCGGTTTCTCATGAAGCATTACTATGTGAGCTTGCTGCACTTTTTTGTCAGCTTCATATCGATACAGCTGTACGTGTTCTTCTATCACATTCTGGAGAGAAAAGCAAAATGGAAGCGTTTCGCGGCCGGAATCTGGACGGTAAGAAAAAGAGAGAAGTTAGAATAGACACATGATTAACACTTAGCAATACTAGTTCTGCTGCTCTATTTCTCTCTCTCTCTCTCTTTTTCTAACGGTATAGTACGAGGTAAACACCATTTCGATAATGAAGCCCGCTAAAGCAGCTCCCTATATTTGCCTCATCACATCCTGGGTGCTCACCTTCATTGTCATGGCCATCAGTGTGTTCTACGGCAATTGTGCCATCAAGCATAAACGTGGACTCTTCGTAACTACATCCAAGTATCTCTATATATATTAATACCATGTTGATTTCCCCCATTTTCACAGGTGTCACGCCACAATGTGATACGCTGGAGCGAGCGCATCTATGTGCTGACATGCTTTGGCATCATCATCTGTGCAGAAATGAAGCGCATCACTATTGAGTTTCCGGCGCTCCTTATTTATACCATCATATCAAATGTTGTAAGTGCCAGCCAAATCACTCTAACTCTTATATAAGTTTCGAATATTTTTAGTTGAGCCTATCTTACTATAAGATTATATCTAAAAATAAGTTTCAAGTTGATTCAAAGTTTTTGTTGCTAGATTTTTCTAAATTTAATGGTCGTCTAGTGTTATTTGGTTTATTGAAAATCCTATGCTGTATTCTCCCCATTCTTATCTTTGTTGCAGTTTGTAATTATATTTGCTGCCTCGATACGAAAGCCGAAATTTTATCAAGTTGACGAGGTCGCTGATCATATACTCATTGGACAGCTGTACTATCTGAACTTCTTTGCCCTCTACATGAGCTATGTGTGGACGACGGCAGCTGGCATCGAGTTGGCCAAATGGGATCTAACGTTCTGATAGCCATCCGTTCGGCTGGCTGACTAGTTGGCAGTGTTGCCATTTCCACATTGATACAGCGCATGCGCCTCGAAAAGGTCTCAACAACAGCTGTTGCACAAACACGCCTACACACACACACACACGCACAAACTTTGCTTCCATTTAGTTCAGGAACGACGTTGTAAATGCAAATTGGAAAGGTTTTGTTGCCTGGTGCTGATTGCATTTGTTTTTCCTCCCAGAGGACGAGGATTCATCGAAATCCTCGCGTTCTGTTTAAAATTGATTTGTGCATCAGATTTTAAGCTTCCGTTCGTTACGCATTTGCAACCCGATTATTACAGGATTTTTTCTCGTTCTCGTCCGCGTATCAGTGTGTTTTGGGGTCGTCCTTGTCGTAGTTTTTCGTTGCTTAAAATCGATAACAACAAAAAATGAAACATAGAAACGGTTTTCAGTGCCTAAATAAAACATTTGTTACAAAGATTTTGTAGATTGAATATGTAAATATTATTTCACGTCAATTTGTGTACAAAATGTTCGCGCGATTCATTCAAGCAAATTTCTGTCGCACACACGAGTACAATAACAACGAAATTATATCAAATACATGCCATTTCATATAGAAGTGTAATTACAAATATATAAATATATATATAAATTTATGTGTATAAGTGTATAATAGATCTATACAGATACATATATATATCCATAAATATATATAATAGCCATATAAAAAGTGTGATTGTGTGCGTGTGAACGTGTATGTGTGTGTGTGGCTTTAAGTTATAAACAATTTTCTTTTTGTAATACATGTGCTAAGTGCCTTAGACTTAGCTAGGCTAAACGTGTAAACAGTTAACATTCAATTTGTGCCGATGTAAGCGACTGCTTAATGGATAAAGGAAAACTAACACACACACAGCCACAGACATACGCAACACCTGTGCGTTGTTGTTGTTGTTGTTACACAAATTTGTTACAATACATATGTGTGATTTTTTTTTTTACATTTAAGATTAAAATGTTTATAAATAACAATCTGTGTTAAGTGTTTTATGTTGGTTTCATTCTTTTTTTTTTGCAATTTTTGTTTTTGTTATTTGTTTTAGACACAGTTTTCATTGTGTTAAATTGAATTGAATTGTTGCGCTTAAGGCCAATGCGAAGAAGGCAGCAGCAAGTCCTCTATCAGAAATTGCCACACAGTTGCTGTTCGTTGTCTTCGATTCCAGGATGCTTGTGCTTGCTTGTTGGGGTTCCATCTAATGGGGTGCCTCGGTCACGGATTTTGTGACATGATCGCTGCTGCTGCTGCTGCCGGAGGGCAAAGCGCATACTGTAAAAATGTCAGGCAAAAGAAACGGGTTGATTAGGGCATAGAACTTCAGTTAGACACTGAGCTGCTGCTGCTGCTGCTGCTGCTGCTGTTGTCTCCGCTTACATTCTCACACATAGTGTATGTATATTTACAGTTACAGCTACAGTTATGCTGGGCAAAGTCCATAGCTCTTAAAATTAACTACACACGATTGTTTAGCAAAGTAATCTTTCGCTTAGCATCTAGGCAAATAAAGAGCTAATTAGCACATGGAGCACAGGCAACGAATTGTTTTACCTTTTTTGCTTAAACTAAAATTTTGTTCTACATACACACACACACACACATATGGATGAGCTGTGTGTGCACATGTATATATACATATATATATGTATATGTGTTTCTAAATACGTGTAGCTGATGTTGTTGATAGCCTTAGAATTATGCGTATGTATTGGATTAAGCGCAACAAGTTGCCCTGCTGCATATTATTTTTGCTTTTGCTTTAACTTTTTCTTTTGTTTATCAATTGTAAATCGACACTGCAAGTAAATAAAAGTGGAACATTGTTGATAAGTTGGCATTCGATGGGGGTTAGTTGTGTGCCGTATAGTGCAAACGCCGGTTAAATCGAGTGAAATATATAAATATATAACTTCAGCCATCACCCAGACAGACAAACTTTAAATAGAGAGGAGCAAATTGATATCTCTTGAATAAGCGGCCCACAGACAGGTGACAAATGTGTGATAAGAACAATTCATAGCCAATTCCAGAGGTGAGTGCATATCGTATATACTATATTATAAACTATTTGTAAGGATATCGTATTATGACTTATAATATTCTAATGAGTCTCTGGCAAAAAGATGAGAGTACGCCTAAACTGACAGACTATGTAGTGCGTATTGAAACAGATAAACATGGGGCCAAGCAACTTCTTATCAAGACTGTACATGCAATAAATGTACAATTGTGTTTGCATAGAAACAAATTATTAAATACAATATGATATCAGAGAACCCTACTCTTTACCCATTATATAAGTCTGCATATATATAAACCTTTCACAAATTATTAAATATATACATTTTTATATCGAACTCAATTTCTAAGCAAACGGAAGACACAAGTGAAGCTAAGTTTAGGCATATGAATACATATATACATTTTTGTGTTAAAGCGAACTCTACTTCTAGACATGTTTCCCTCTCTATATAGTATATAAATGCTTTATAAATTAGGTGATAACAATGCAATGTGTAGGTGATAACAATTATGTGCTTATGTATACAACTTAAATATAAATCTGAGTAAAATGCAGGCATAAGTTGGTCAGTTAAAAGCTATTTTAAGCGTACATTAAACCTTTCCATTTAACTTAATATTAAAATACAGATGTGAAGCATTATTACAAAGCAGCTCAAAGCCAATTAGTTTCTTTTTTAAGCAGTAGATTGATTATAGAGCATTGTGCGCAAAGCATAAGCATGCAATTTCAGATCGATAGGTCTTACCTATTATAATGATCAGCAAGACGACGGCAATGACGCCGAGAATGATCATCATCTTCATGTTGGCCCACCATTGTTTGCGCTTCAGTTTGCCCGCCTGCTGTTCGAACTGTGAGGCGCCCTGCTCTAGCTGATCGGCTCGCTCGCCCAGCTCCGATAGTTTCTGATCACGTTCGAGCACCTTCTCGACATTGACGCGCATTATGCCCACCACTTCGTCCACTTTGGCCTGTGTCTGCTGCAGGCGTTTCTGTGCAGCATTGTTGTTGCTGTTGGCCGGGTCGTTGTAGATGTTGTAGTTGGATGACGATGCATTCGGCGGCGGCGGAAGTATGGGAAAACTGTATAATATTATATATGTGGTGGCAGGCGAAGCAATATTGCGATAAAGTGCCACGCACGAATGCCATGCCCTGACGATTCGATTGGAATGCATTAACCATAATTGGATGCTATGACATCAGAGCTACGTAGTCGGCTTAGAGGGTCTGGCATTTGTGCGTTGCGCTTCTCAATTTTAATTTCAATTGTCCGTGCTGGGGCTCGTCGAGCTCTGAATCCAGCTTTTGGACGGTTTACTTACTCATTGTTGTTGGAACCGGAAGGTGCGGGCGCCTCGTTATTCTCCATCTTTGTGCTCGCTTAAAATGTGCTTTCTGCGCTGCGAAATAACGAATAATGAGCAAATATTAAACAGAGCATTCTTTGTTTAAAATTGAGAGCATTGTAATCGATTGATTGACTACTATATACCCTAGCTAATTGGTGGATTGCTTAATTAGCTTTAGAAACAAATTTATATACGAGGCATACTACATTACATTCTTTAAGTCTGAGTCAGATGGTAGAAAAAAATTCAATTCATGTAAGGAAATGAGAAAGTGACAGAGATTGGAATAGAGTTTATGGTGATTCAAGGTCTTTCAGCTGAATACAAGCTAAATCGCAACTTATAGAAAGTAAATAGATTACATACAAAATAAAAACTAATTTATTAGAAATTTGATTAGAGAGTAGATTCTCCTATATTTGTATTTACATATGTATTTTGATAAATAATATATTCTTTACCATCTGAAATAGCAACTCAGCTTGTTAAGCGATAATTGCGTTTCTATTATATAAAATAATATGACGAGAGTTAGTTGTTAGTTTCAACTGAAAGGTCTAAGAGTTCGTTGCGCTTAATTAGTTATACTCTGTATAGGGGAATATAGAGTATAGCCGCTCTAGTTCGAACACATATTTAATGGTATAAGGAAAATAAATAAAATGCATAATTAATATTCATTCAACCCATTTATAAAGGGGCACAGCGTATATTAATAAATTGTATACATTGAGAATTTCCGCGATTCTCAAGATACGAATCAATTAATTGCGGTGAGCGCAGATATACACAAATATACAAAATCACTCAAACACACATACACACACTCGCATTCTCTCATACACGCACGCAAATCAAGAGCTGCACACACTTAAAATCTACGATTAACAAAGTTAAACACACACACATACACACGCACCGAGTCACAGTATACACAAACACAAAACTACATTGACAAGTAGAAGTACATCTTATCTCTGCAATATTTTGTCCAGTACGAAATGAATCATAGAATTTCCGAACTTGGGCTAGCACAAAAATAGGGATGAGGGACAAGCGGCTAAAATGCTGCTTGGTCACACTCCTGAGAACTATTTACTGTTCACAATAAAAATAATGTTAATTTGAGTTGAATGCTTTCACTGCAATTAATGAAATGCATTAAGCTGACCCCCTGAACCGTGACTCTTCACACTGACGCACCAAACAGTGACAGAAGTGCCACCTCTAAGAGCACCAAAAAACTTGTTGCTCGTTGAATTTTTCGCAGCCGCCTGCCAACGCACAATATTTACATTGCGCTGTCGGCCTCGCCCTATTTAGCCCAAGTACACTCACCTGGAATACGTTTTTGGTGCGTTTGTACAGCTGTTTTTGGTCCGTTTGAAAGTTTGATATTTCTCGGATTTTAATTTTCTTTTGATTTTGATTAATAGAAAATCAGTAAGGCAACGTTGTGTTTTGCTTGACAATTTTTACAGGCTGTTAATGAAAAAATGGTGCTTGTTGCTGGTTGCCGAACAGAAATGTAATCAACAGTGCGTTCGACATCGACGCATTTTTGAGCAGTCGTAACAGGTCATGTAAATAGCAGCACTGTTATGAATAACATTGCGCTAAGCTCCGACGCACTTTTGAGTAATTTTTGACAGTCTGGCAGCACTGTCATCATTTAATTGGCGAATAATTTGAACTTTATAAATATTTCAGCAATGATTGCCAAATGTAACATGGAAAATGCATAACTCACTGGCCTCCAAGTTGCTAGTGCGACTACTGTTGCTTTTTGCGCTAGTAACTGTTATTTCGATTGTGATTCTATCAAAATGGGGCTTCGATGAGCTGACCTCGCAGACGGACAAAGATTCACCGCCAAATCCCAGCGAGACAAATGGCTACACCTATGCACTGAGCTCGCGGGATGCAGAAATAGAGCGTCTCAAGCACGAGGTGCTCACGCTACGTGCTCAACTGGTGCTGCTGCAGAGCAATCGCAGCAACAATGGGCTGGCAGGCCGGTTGCCCTTGCAAGGCAGCGGTTACTTCTCCTCCTCCGTGTCCGCCTCCTCGTCTGTCAACAACAGCAGCAGCAGCAATAATAGTAACTCGCATCTACATCAGTCAGACACCACAATCGCCTCTCTGACGCACCACTATGACTGTAGCAGCTATATACGCAAACAGGTGGGCGCCGCTGAGATACTGCACGGGCTGCCTCTCAACAATGAGTATGAGATGATACCCTTCAATCACTTCACCTTCACGCGCGTCTATCCCATTGATCTGGGCCTGGGCAAACGTGTCGTGGAGAAGCCCATTGGCTATAGGCGTCGCGATCTCTTGGAGGCTGTCAACAAGGCCCTCGAGAGCCTCAATCGCAATCATACGGCGCGTGCCAGAGCCAAAGGACTCCCAGTCAGCGAGCTGGGCCGTTACACGCTGGATGACTTTGTCGAAGGCATTTACCGCACGGAGCCCACGACGGGCAGCCAGTACGAGCTGTACTTCCAGAGCATCAAGCATCAGACAACTGTTGTGCGCAAAGCGCTCATCATGCGACCCTTTGCTCCGCTGCAGACGGTGCAGCTGTCCGAGGTGCCCGCCAGCCCCACTATACATGTCATCGTGCCACTCGCTGGACGCCTGCGCAGCTTTCGCAGCTTTGTGCAGATGCTGAACAAACTGGCAGATCAGCGACTGCATCTCATCGTCGTCTACTTTGGCGAGGCGGGTCTTAAGGAGGCGCAGCTGATTGCAGGCGGTGCTAAGCGCGTGCAGCTCGTGGCCTTGAACGAGACATTCAGCCGGGGTGAGTGGCAGCTACAAGGATATCTCTTAGACAACCCACTAATTACTCTCTTTACAGCCAAGGCCTTGCGACTGGGCGCCGAGCACATTCAGCCAGAGGCAGCAAAGGCAATGCAGCAGGATGCGTTGCTCTTCATGTGCGATGTGGACATTGTGTTCACAGCCAAATTTCTGGAGCGCTGTCGCTGGAACACGGCGCCCGGCAAGAAGGTGAGTGGAAGTAGAGAATAGAGTAGAAAGTGAATTTCATTAACTAGTCTCCACTTGAAGGTCTACTATCCCGTGGTATTTAGCCTCTACAATCCGCACGTTGTCTACACGCTGCAAGGCAAGGCGCTGCCCAGCGAGGAGGAGCAGCTGGTCATCTCCAGAGATACGGGCTTCTGGCGTGACTTTGGCTACGGCATGACCTGTCAATACCGCTCGGATTTCCTACAAATACGCGGCTTTGACGAGGAAATCGTTGGCTGGGGCGGTGAGGACGTGATGCTCTATCGCAAATACGTTCGATCGAAAATTAAGATCGTAAGGGCAACAGATCCGGGCATCTTTCATCGCTGGCACACAAAGGTGAGTGGGATGGAGTAGCCCCCTTGCCAAACCAATGCTAAGTGATATTTGTGATTTGCTCTTCCAGATCTGCACGGGCTCGCTGAGCGCGGATCAGTATCGTGCCTGCATACGTTCGCGTGCATTGAATGAGGCATCGCATGCCCAGTTGGGTTTTCTGGCCTTTCGGGACGAGATTGCCGCCGCAATGGCCCACTCGTGATATCCTTAAGGGCATTCAGGCCTCTGTCTACCATATAGTTAGCCACAAAGTGACAATAACTTGTATTTAGCCAATCGTTGAACTAGCATAATTGTTGAATCTGTTTCTTAGATGCCTAGACAATTAACTAATACTTAAACTTAACTTTACTCTGTAAACGTCTGCGTAATCGTATGACGAATTGTTCTTCCATGAAGCAAACTAGATGCAATCTTAAACAGCAACAACAACAACAACAAAACACAAACAAACGAGAAATACAAACCAAACATATTTAGCATATTGTATCATATACCTATATATATATATATATACATATAAACTGCGTCTGCTCGCATTAGATAAACAAAATTAAATCGTTTAATTAAACTTGTCGCCGTTGTAAATTTTATAGATGCGCGGACTTATGCGAGTTGAGCTGAGTTGAGTGAATGCCAACGACCTCCATTTGGGGTTCAGTGCACATGCAGACGACGTAGCAGAAGAAGAAGAAGCAGAAGATGACGTCGCCAAACAGCCACAGGAGCAGCTGTGGGCTTTTACTTCACTGTAGCGTAAAGTTCAAATGATATTTTTACTAGACTCGTAATGCTGCTCTAGCCGAGAGCATTCCAGCTATCACAATCTCTTTGTTGAGCTTAGACATGGAAGTTGAGTATTTTATTTGGATTATTTTTGTAGAATATATAGCTTATATAGACATATCTATCTATAATTATTTTTTGTGTAATCTGAGGTAGTCTAAAAATGTTAGATAAATGAAGGAAATTAATAAAAAAAATAAATATTAATTTATTTACAAAAAATTTTATGCATATATTTTATGTAAATTTACTTTATTTTAAGTAATATTACTGTTATTACCTCGTAAATTATGATTTTTTAGGTTTCTTTCTGTCTCTTTGGTATTATCTTTTCATGTCTCTTGACTCCTTCCTACTCCGCATTTTTGTCCTTTACCTATTCTCATTTTTCTTGTGTCTGTTTCTTCCCTTATGTTACCCTCTCTTCATAATTTATTTATGTAGCTTCTCATCCCATATATTTCCTCTTATTCTGCCTTTTTCTATAGCCAACTCGTTAAGCTCATCTCAATCTCTCTCATTAAAATATCGCCGCTCTATGCAATTCTCATTCAGTATATTCTTCATTATTTATGATAATAAGAGCATGCAGCAGTGTCATCTGTAAGTCTACTACATATATTAAGTGATTCCATCCGGTGGTCTTGTTAAGCTTTGTGCCTAAACCCTTTTCATGGTCACGGTCTTGGGTTATGTAAGAGCCGAAAAATGAATTTGAATCTAGCGCAATTAGCAAATGCTAATTTCACGCCTTTAATCCAAGATTTATCCAGTCGATGTGAGTCAGAGACTTGGAAGGAATTCGCGTTGGCCATTACGCAATGCACGAGAAACAGCAACGAGGTGTATTAATTAGCCGCCAAAAAATAATGACAGGTAGGTGGGTGCGCAACAAAACATCCTCCTGTCATTCTACGAATGCCAAACTGACCATGAAAACCACGAAAACTGATTCACAATGCCGACTCTGTGTCGATTCCCATTCAGGCTGGCTTTTGGCCCGCACCCAAGGTGTTGTTGCAGGTGAAGTGACAAAACGGCGCCACAGCCGCACTCACACACACACAATCGCAGCCACAGCCACAGCCACAGTCGCAGCCACAGCCCCAGCTCCAACGAAATGCCAACACCTCAACCACGAATACCAGGGCTTATTTAGATCTACATAGAGCATAGCCCCCGCCACCCGCCAGCTCCACATCTCGCTTCAGTGCGTCTCTCTGTGTGAGTTTTTCGAGTTCGGTTTCGGCTTTGGTTCTAGCTCCAACGAATTTCAAATAAATACCCGTGCCACAGGGCTGAGCAGCACATTCGTGGTTTCAATTCTGTTGCCAGCGACACGTTAAGCAATACACACACACACACACATATAAATCATCTGTTCGAGAGCGCGCCAGGATTTGGGAGCTCAGCTCTCTAAAGATTTAGTACACCACGTGGCCAAGTAAATAGAAAAACATTTGTGCAAGTGATAAAGTGAACCAAAAATAAACATAATAACAAAATGCATGTGCTGCAATTGGTGAGTTTTAAAATATTTGAGAAATATTAAAAGAACTAAACTTGTGAAGTAAAACAGTCTAAAAATATTTACAAGTTAATACTACAATAATATGTAGTTTTTGATAGAAAATTAAAAAATATTTATTAAAATATTTGCAAAATTTATAAATGATCCAAAAAGTTGTTAGTCCTTAAGCATCAATATTTGGTCAATATAACAATATTATAAAAAAAAAATTATGTATAAATATAACAAAATTAAATACAAAATAATTTAAATTTAAAAATACATACATAAAGTAGAAACAAATTTTTATTGTTCGATAATTATTATTAAAAAATATACCAGATTTTTTATATGTTGATTATTATTATTATTATTTTTGTTCATAATGCCAAGCAAGGAATATAAATTTACCAAATTATTTAAAATAATTAATTTTGTTTTATTTTTTGTTTTTTATTAATAATAACGATAGTAAGAATAATGAAATTAAGTAGATGAAATGTATTATGGAAACCGGAGACAGGCTTTGTTTTTATAAGTTTTGAATTTTTATTAGAAATTCTGTCTTAATTAGATAATTATATCTGAGCAATAAAATCTTTTATACAAGAGAGGAGCGATATGAAAATTGTAAAATCTAATTTTTACACAACCAAACATATAGAAAGAATTAAAGCTCCAACCGAGACTAATAGAAGCAAAATAAAACAGATAATTTTTATGCCCTGAACCCATTGAAAATAAAAAATCTGGGTAAAATTATTATTAATCTAAACTAAATAGAACTATACAGAGTTAGCTCAGGTAAGCCGATACAGACACAACTAAGAATTTAGAACTTGTTAAATTTGTTAAATTATGTCAATCTATAGTTTACAGACGCACAGAGTCTAATCATCACAGAGACTATATAGAATTTAGAGCTCGTCTACAGATAACTCCAAATCGTAGGTCACTTCAGTAGTCGTTATATGAGCATATCGTTGACCTACGCGTTGTGCAATGAGTTTGCAAAGAACTCACGCATAACTGTTGCTCTATGATGTAATATGTACAGAAATTCCATGGAATATTATGTAAATGGCATATTAATGTTAAAGTCCCTGCCAAAAATATGCTGACCGTTAATAGTTAGTAGAAAATTCGTATACATATATATAATATATGTATATAATTATTCTAATAAAGAGTGCACACAAGTCACGAACTCGAGATTCAGCGATTGGCCAGTTTTGATTTTTTTGTTTTTGTTTAATATTTTTTATTTTTGGTTAAAGCCAACCCCGCCAAGCGGAAGTTGTTCCTGATGCTTGACTAACAAAGCGTAGCGGAGCAGCTCGCCAGCATATATTCATGATTAACTCTTTTAGAGAGTGAGAGAGAGGGAGATATTGAGACAGAGAGAGGGCAAAGTGGACAAGTGAACTTTATGATTCCAGCCATGAATGAAAATAAAATGATGTCAATGCTATTTTATGAATATATGAATATGAGTTTTGGGCTGTGCGCTTTAATTAGTATAGTTCCATCTATTATTATTACTTGAACTTCTATGAGTATGTGGGAGGTGTCGGCTGCCATTTGAGCCCTAATCTATGCTCTATTATTGCATAATCGAAGCTAGCTGGCCAGAGCTACAGACAGCCAAACTCGCTCGCTCGCTCGCTCGTACCGTCCATTGATCATATTTCACGCTCACTGCGGACGAGTGTCCATATTTTTAATGATGATAATGACGCTGCTGATGATTTCTACACATATGGCTTTGTATTTCGAGCAGCACTTTGGCAGTACTTTCGTCAATTATGATTGGAGGCTGAGGGCTTTGGCCCAGTTGGTCGCTGGACTGTGAAATCTATCCATAAACAATCAGCTAATGATCACGCAACTTCAAACTCTCAACTGTGAACTCTTTCGACTCTTTTGCAGCTGCTCTGCCTGGCCGTTGTCTGTGTCCAGGCGTCGTCGCGTGGACCTGAGGCGCGCAGTGCCACGCCCACTGCCAATGACAGACGGGTGACAGCGGGCTCTGCCGGAGTCCTGGACTCTGTGCTACGCGGCAATGGCAAGAGTCGCCAATCTCGCTGCGTGCGCTGCTATGAGGATCGCTACTACAGCGCCGATCGTTATGGCGGCGGGGATCGCTATGGAGGCGGGGATCGCTATGGCGGCGGGGATCGCTATGGCAGCAGCGATCGCTATGGCGGTGGCTACTCGAGTCGCAGTGGCGATGATCCGCGCAGCTCCTGGTACTACTATGACCGTTACGAGGATCGCGGTAGAGATCGCGACTCGGATAGATACTATGGGCGCGATGATCGCTATTCGCCACGCACCTACGATCGCTACGAAGGCAGAGGATACGACGATTACTATAGGCGAGGCTCTTCGGGCTATGATCGCGGCTCGGGCTACGGTTACTCTGGCTACGACAGCCGAGATCGTTACTATGGCGATCGTGACAGTTCGCGCGGTGCGTAGCGATGCAGCTTCGGTTAAGTTCAGCTCTGATTTTTAATCAATTCTATTTGCAGATCGGTATTATGATCGTTCACGTACCAGCTATGACAGATACGATCCCTACGATCGCTACTATTCAAGGTATGATTTTCGCAACTATCGTCCATGGGATGAGACCTACAGGTATCGCTATCCTGCTCTACTACTCTTATTTCCTTGTTTACGTTTTGATTCCATTTTTTGTTGTGTTGTCAAATCTAACGCTCTTGCTCTCTTGCTTACATACAACAACAACACCACAACAACAACAACAACAACAACAACACGATCAACAACAACGTTAACCAAACACACAAAACACCACAACAACATGAACTCTGGATACTCTACGCCAAATACGATTATGTGGATTTAATTGCACTTGAACCTCACCCACTCTCCTGTTCTGTACCACTTGTAATCTGCACCCACGCACTCAGAGGCCAGTCGGGCTTCGATAATTCAGGCCGTGGCTATTATTTCGCTAGGGATGACGACGATCGTCGCTCCGGCGCTCTGCCTGTCCACGATCGCGAGCGCGGCCAATCGTCCGGCTCTGCCCCGCCCTGCGGCCACCTGATCAGCAACTGTCCGTACGGTGATCGCGGCGGCACCAAGGTCTCCTCCTCGGCCATCGACAGCGACGGCTATCGTGGCGGCCACACCACAGTCATGGGCAAGCCCAGTGGCCAGGGCGGCTGGACATATCTGGGCGATCAGGACAAGCCGAGCCCAATGGGCGGCAGCCATAGCGGTGGTGGTGGTGGTGTTGGTGGTGGTGGAGGTGCTGCTGGTGCTGGCAGTGGCAGCTCAGCGGGCGGTGCGAGCAGCAGCAGCTCAGGCGGCGGCGGCGGTCGTGATAGAGAGCGTGATCCACAGAGGTAAGTTGCAGTGGGTGCAGAGTGGCCACAGCTGAATAACTCTTCGTACCTCACCCACTCTCCTCGATCGTTTTCGTTTACTTGAGTAGATGATTAGTAGCATGCGATGCTGTGCGGAACTGTAAAAATCATTAAGATAGGCTTGCTCTCTTGTCGCCCCTTGTAGCTCTTCCTATGGTGGCCGACCACGCCCTCTAGGCGGCAGTTATCTTTTCGACCGGGACAGCAATGCGGTCCCCGAGAGCCCGACCGATCCAGCCGGCTCAAATGGTGATGGTGGTGGTAATGGTAGCGCCCAAATGCCAGCAGCTGCGGCCCAAACGGCGGCCAAGCCCAGCGAGTCCCAGGCCGATCCCGGCCAGGACACGCAGACGAAGGCAGCGCAGCAGTGACTGCAACGCAGCAGCCGCCTTGTAGGCATGGCTTAACATAATCTCTATCTATTTATGTGTCTAATTCCTAAGCTACAATTATAAAGTATTTATGCCCACGACTTTGCAACTTGCTCAATAAACAATTCAAAAGATTCTCAAAAATGTATGATAATAAAACACAAGATATATATGTATATTGGAAGTACAGTTTATTCATAAAATAGTAAATGCTGGCGGCGTTAAGCGCCCAGGACTTATGAATTACAGTAAAGAGAAGCCCAAATTGAAACGATTGGGTATTTAATTAGAGCTAAGTATAAAAGTGAATATTTTGGGCCGGAAGCGAAATGAAAAACTGAAATTTAAAAATATATAAGAAAGTAAATAAAATAAATAAGAGTAAATAAAATAACGAAATTATAATACTAAACAAATACAAACTAAACAAAATTAAAAAGTAGCAAACAAAATTATAAATAAATAAATATAATTATTTTTGAAATCAAAAATGTTTAAAATTAAAAACTAAATAATAAAATTAAACAGATATAAAAAAAAAAATATAACATGAAATAAATATAAACTAAATAAAGTGCAGAGATAAGATAACATAAAAAATAAGCTAATAAAAATTAAACAATTTGTAAATATTAAAGATAAATGAGAAGGAAGGAATAAAATATAAAATAAATATTAATAAATAATAAAATATAATAAAAATAAATAATAAAGATAAATGAAAAGGAATAAATAAAAAAAAAATATATAATGAAATATGTAAAATTAATGAATTTATCTAAGAAAACCAACATAAAATTAAATTTAAAAAAAAAAAAAAAAAAAACTATAGAAAACTACAAAAAATGAATAATCAAATATGACAAAAATATAAAAAATAGACACAAAAAAGAAAACATAAAAAATAAATAAACTTACCAGTTATCTTTTGTAAGTCTTTGAGAACTAAGAAATCTATATTCAAACCAAAAAATTAATAATATATATAAAAGAAGATAAGCAACAAGAAATACAATTCAATTAAATTAAATTAGGAATATAAGGAAAACGAAAATTAAAAAATAAAATTTAGAAAGTAAAAAAAAAAAATATATATATTTTTAATATTTAAAATTAAAATATAAAAGTATACATAAGAAATAATTTCTGATATAATAAATATGATGAAAAAAATATGTAAAAATCAAAAACCTAAAAAAAAAATTAAATTAAATAAAACTACAAAATTAATAATTATACAAACAATAATAAAAAAATAAAAATTAAATGATTTAATTTTTTAATAAACAATAAAAAAGTTAAAAATTAATTTATATAATTAATTTATATAAAATAAAAATATTAAGAAGAATTATAATCAAAAATGTAAGTGTAAAATAAAGAAGTAATAATTAAATACTGAAAAAAAATTAAAATAAAATATAGAAAAATGAATATTTGAACTTACCAAATTAAAAGATTTAAGTAACTGAATTCAAAAAATTTTTAACAGACAAAATAAAATGTGGAAATAAAAAACTTACCAATTGAAAATGTTGGAGTAACCAAAAACGACAGCAAATTAATAAATTGTAAATTAAAAACTTACCAAATTAAAATTGTAAATAAATGAAAAATTAAATGAAAACCTAAAAATTGAAAATGAAAACGAAACCCTTTTTTGAACGAACTTAAATCAATAACAAATTCATTTTTATAACAAAAACACGCCTGATATTGGCAATATAGATCGTTAAAAATTTCACGATTTTACATAGTTTACTTTTTTTTTTTAATTTTTTAGGATTACTAATTTTATATCTTTTTGTTTGCTTTTTTTTTTTTTTGTTTAGAAATTTTTAACAAGCATATTGTTACACCAACAAATTTATAGCTTTTATAACGAAAAAACAGCAACAAAACTGAAGAAGAAAATGAAACTAAAAAGGCACAAAAAAATTGAAGTGCAAGTGGAAGATATTGTCGTAATGCCTCTCTCTGATTAAAATGTATATTTAAGATATAGTTTTTTTTTAAAGATGATTAATGTTGGTTATGGTGGATATAAGCAACAAGTAAATGATCCAAGCTTCATTGCCAGCAATTCTCCAGATGCGATGTTTAATCTTTAAAGATGGTTTTTCTGGTTGTAGCTTGCGCTACGTTAGTTTGTAAGTAGATGAAATTCCATTTATATTGAAGTGATCCGTTTGTGAACTATCTGAATTTTCAGTTTCCGAAAATTGTAGTAAGTTGTGGAGATTTTAGTTGATTATTTGTTTATATATTTTATTTTCGGTATTTTCCTGAAGATTCCTGAAGATTCTTGATTGTGGTTGTATGTGTATATTTATTTTTTTATTTTTAAAAATTCAGATATGTTGTAGAATATTCCGGAAATTTCTGATAAAAATGGTCTTTTCTTAGTTTTTGTTGTAATTTGTTGAATATTTGTATTATGTATAAATATATATAAGTATATATTATATATTCTTGTATATTATTATTTGCATTGCTTTTGCAGCGTTAGTATGTTGAACAGTTTTATTGGTCTTGTTGAAGAAATTCTTTTATATGGTCCAGACATTTCTTTGCTATCTTTTGATCAACAATTTGTTTAAATTTGTAATATTTTTTCATTCATTTCCAGGGATTATGTAGTAAATTCCAAATTTTTTTATATCTCGCAGAAGACTTATACATTTGTCTAATGGGGTTTCTTGATTATTTGTTTAATTTTCTTGCATTTTCTTTGCGGCGATCTTTTTGTATAAATTCTACAAATTTGTATTGTCAACATTGTTAAAGAATTTCTTCATATTGATTATCTCTTCTTCAATCGCCTTTAATTTCGCGCAGCTATAGTTAAATTTGCTTTATTAATACAAGACCCACCTCAAAGCCATTATATGTACTCACAGTATTTGCGATCACATGCAACTAGTGTTTAACTGTACTTGGAAGGGCATCTCAAACTGGTTTAGTTTTAAACTGTACTTTAGAGACACTCAACTTGGGTTAGCCGCCACCAACAGATGGTGGCGGCCCAGCGTTAATTCACTGTATAAAAGAACTTTTTTTTTCGATTTAAAACTTTTGTTCTTCACTTTGTAAAACTCCAGAGAGAACTGTGCCGCCGCATGGATCTGTGCGAGTATTTATAGCTGAGCTGAAGTAAACAACCACCACGAAATGCAATAAAGGTTCCGCTCAACAATTGAAAATACTTTCGCACGCAGGCGTGCCCCGTTTTGCCGATGGCCTGCGTGCCGTTAGGTCATAACAACGGAGGAGGGTTCAAGAAATACACATGTGTGTGTATGCTATATAGGGGAATGCATTGAAATGGTAATGTTTATGCTGGTATTCGAGATCCCTCGAGTCGTTAAGTGGTTGTGCTGGTGGTGGGTAAATGCCACCACCACCACAAGACATGCACACGCACAAGATCTATGAGCAGTTGGGGTGCCTGAGAACTGGGAACTGGGAGCTGGGAACTCGAGCAACCAGTTGATATCGTTTCACAGTGCCTATAAATCAGTCAAGATTTACACGAATTAGTTATCCTCGGAGCAAACTTCGAGATCTCCTTAACTTTCTCACGCTTGACTATGCGAACTAGAAACTGTGAAGGGTCGAGTTCGTTTTTTGGCAAGTTTTTAGGGTGCAGTAGATAGTAGGGTTGACATTTGGCTACCGGTGGGCAAGCGACTGACTTTTATGCTGGTTGCCCATGGCGAGTAGCTACTGTAGCATGCGGGTCAAACAGTGGGCTTCGCCGTGCAACCGAGCAGCTGCCTAGCTGCCCAGCTGCCTACAAGCAATCGATACTAAGGTACGACATTATTAAATAAATTCGTTGAATCGAATGCTACTTTAACGATAAGCAAACTCTTATCAGCATACGAATGTGATAACACGCCCAATTTCATATTTAACCCAACCTGTTAACCAGTTCTCAATTGCCCGTCCACCGGTTGTGATCGCCAAGTGATTTTTGTATTTTCGGAGAATGTTTCGGCTGTCGTATCGACCGAGAGTGCAACACGTTTTATGCCTTATGATATTTATTTATTTATATTTACTCTTGGAGCACTTTATACTTCAAGTGAGTGCTTCAATTGACATATATTTGATAGAGAAAATATTATCGACCATCTCTCTCACTCTCTCGCTGCATGACAACGAATATTTAAAAATAATTTTTTATGTTTAATGAAATGAAAAATTAATTGAAATGAATCGAAGCAAAATGCTTTTCTTATGGAATTAAAAGAAAATGAAAGAAGGCAAATAAACTGTTTAGCAGAGACAGCTCCAAAGCCAAAAGCAAAAGCAAAAGGAAAGAACGTGGAAAACATTCAACTGCGGTCACTGCACAGTGGGCAAAGTGCTCATAAAACGTGTGCGTGTGTGCTTTTGGTAGTAGAATAAAATAAATATATAACAGATTAAAGAAATTCAGATAATAAAGTCGATTTATAAAAATTAAAAATAATGAAAAAAAAAAAAATTAAAAATAAAAATTAGTAATAATAAAAATGAAAGAAAAACAAAAAATATATAAAGTTTTAAAAATTAACGAATGCTCGGACAAACAAGATATTGCGCAACACTGATATACTCTATTCATTTTCGTGAATGAGCATAAGAAAAAATTTTGCAATTACTATTAAAAAAAAATTAAATACTTAATACAAAGAATAATAATGAAAAATTATTTATAACAAAATAATATAATTTAATATATTTTGGCATATCTAAACCAAGTCAAAAACCACTGTGACACTTGGCATTGATAAACAACCATATTAAATTTGTTCAAAAATCTTTTATATATGTACATAAGTATGCATACATATCACAAATATATACAGATATATATGTATATCATATAATAATTATTTTCTTTTGGACAGCGTAGACAAATGAAATGTTTTGGATTGTATATTTGAGATATATGTTGAATTTGCAGTTAAAAATAGTTTAAATTTATACACATATACACATACATACATATGTGTGTGTATGTGTATATATTTTTGCAGTCAGTGGGACACTCAAATGGAGAAACAAAACACACAATTTATAAAGTCGACTCATGTTAAAGTGAAGTGCGTTTACAAGCCACCTCATACACACACACACGCACACACACACACATATAGAAACACCCACTCACACACACACGCAGCTACACACAGTAATAGGAAAAGCTATGTCGACGCTGACGCCGACTGCGCCGCCGACGTTTGCCGCCTGCTGATGACGCGGCGACAGCATTGCGAACGGCGCCAGTTTCATGCGAAACGTACGTTGATTAACTTGTTGCATACGCGTCGCCCGAGTCCTGCTCCAGACACTTGTTGTTGTGTCGCTTGCTGTGTGTGTGTGTGTCAGTGTGTGTCTGTGTGCGTGGGTGCCATAATCATTTGCGTATTGCGGGCGCCACTAAACGTCCGTCCTGCTGCTCCTGCTGCTGCTGCTGCTGCTGCTGCTGCTCTAGTCTCGATTCCTGCGGCGTGGCGCAACCACAAACAAAGCACTCGCAAAAATAACTCACTTAATTGAAATACGCGTTCTGATTCAATAATTACTAATTGCCATGCGACTAATGACACGAGCCGAAAGTGCGTGCAGAATCATTATGAATTAATGAATTATGAATTAAGCGAGGAAATGAAAAAAATTAAATATTAAATATGAAACAGAAAATCATTCGAAAAAATCATACCAAAAATTAAATTAAAGCTAAAATAAATAAACATTTTATATTGTGATTAATTTTGAATTAATTTATGTAGTAATCGAAACAAAGATAAATTAAAGTCTTAACTCTCTTTTCTATGTGGAGCGTTTAGGAATTTTTAGAATATCCTCACATTTAAAGAAAATATTTGTCAGTTTTTATTCACACTTTAAATAAAGTTTATAAAATAAAAATTATTAATTTAAATTCAAAAATTTTCCCATATATTTTAGAACTTCTTTTTAAAGTATTTTTTATTGATTTTTTATAAACAATTTCTAATATATCTAACCTTTTGAAAGTAGGCAAACAAAATTGCCTATTTTTTTTTTTTAATTTGCAAAATTTTTTCATATTTTTCTGAGATAGCTTCAATTTATGGACTTTATTACCCAACACTGTTTCAAGCTCCTGCTTCACAGTTTAACAAATGGTGCCCAATTTTACGGCACTTTTAGTTCCCATTTTCCATGTTGCCCCAAAAAAACTTTTCCCTTGAATTGCTTTATTTTTAATGAGTTTTTTTCGTTCGATTTTCCTAATTCTATTTCTTTGAGTGTTTTGGCTCAATTATTTTTATGAGTGTAGCAGACTAGCTAGAGAGGGCCAAGGAGGTCGGGCGCGTGGGGCAGCCGTCGATGATGACACTGAAAGACGCGCTGCTTTTGCTTTGAGCTAGCCCTAGCCCCGCCCCTGCCCCTGTCCCCGCCTCTGCCCCTGCTCACCACCCGTCCCACCGCATGTTATCGTTAATCGATGGTCGCCCATCAACAAAACTGAAAGCAAACAAGCAACAGGAGACGCTTTTGGGGTTGGCTGCGCTGTCAACGTTGCCGTTGCGGTCGACGTCGACTTTGAACAAATATATAAATATATATATTATCAGCAGCAGCAGCAGCAGCGGCAGCAGCAGCAGCAGAAGCAACAGCGCAGCAGAGGCGAGCGTGCTGTGGCGACTCCTAAACAGCATGACACTTGTAGTCACAAGTAGGCAGCTTGGCGCACTAGTCGCATAACTGTAATTCACACCTGGACACTGGCCGCACGTATCCTGTGCTCAATAGGAAGAAGCCTGTTCGCTAGGCACTTCTCTCCAGCTGCTGCTGCTGCTACGGCTGCGTGCGTCGCTCTCAAGGTCGCGCGTCGTCGTCGTCGTCGTCGCGTCGCGTCGGTCTAATAAAATAATTCAATTAAAAATAAGCAAAATACGTCGCAGCCAAAAACATATAGCTATATCGGATATATATATACAATATATATAAAATTTGTTTAAAATGCTGGCGGCCCAAGAGAATCGTTTTCAATATGTTTACTTTACGCTCTCCGGCTTGGTCGCCTGCATCATGCTCATTCTCTTCTATATCTCAATGCGCACAACCATTGTGAGTGCCTGTGTGTGTGTGTTTCGAGCTTGTGTGCGTGTGTGTGTGTTAAGTGTACTTCATCTTTGCTCATTTGCCATTGCAGAATGAACGCCTGCGCGATGATCTCAAGCAGATGCAGCGCCAATTGCTCTACCCAAAGCCCAATCCGCACTGGAACTACAACAACAGCTGGCGGCGCATTGGCAATGCCTCGCTACGGCATGAAATATACTCGGCATATTTCGATGCACGCACGGATATAGTGGGTGAGTCGACACTTTGAGAGCAAAGCAGATAATGTAATATATTAAAAGTGAAAGAAGTGTTCTAAAATATTTCATAAAATTGCAAGAAATGAAGTTAATATTGGAAATTGAATCAGTATTATTATTGTTGTAATTGAAGACCTATCAAAAATTGACTAGACTAATCATTCGCTTCTCGGATAGATATGAAATCTATCAACTTCTAAAATTCCTCTAAAATTAACAAAAAAAAAAAAAAAAAAATAATTTATCCACAAAGTTAATACAAATATTAAAAAGATAATCAAATGACATTCAGTAGGTCACTTCTACTATATATATAGTCACAGCAGCGCACTCCGACTATATTTAATGGCTGCTGCTGAACTTAAACTTGATTTGAAAGCAACTTTTGCTGATTCACATCAAGCCAAAAACGAGAATAAATCTGCCAAATTATTAGCCAAAAAAGGATGTAAAGAAGAAGCAGACGAAAACTTTCTAACTTTTATAGAAGTGCAAAAGGTCGTCAACATTAATTGGAGTATTATTCTTCACTCAGTTCAGTTTTTTCCCCTTCTTCTGCCAGAAACTTCGCACTAGAGAGTGTGTAAATATGTAAATTTGAGTTTATAAATAATAGAGAAACAAAACACTCATTTATCATCATAATAAAATCAAATTATTTTGCTGACTGCGAAACTGCGAAAATTTAAATGTGTGAATTAGTTAAAGAGGAGAAGTGGAGCTTGGTCTGGGGAGTAGCTTTAAGCTGAGCGGAAAAGCGTTGGCCTAATAGAAAGAAATATATATGTGCATATATATCTGAGGACAGGAATATTTGGAGTATTCTCTATATGCTTTAATACAAATATATGTAAAGACCTCAGAGTATTGTTTGTTTAGATTTCCAGCTATTGCTTAAGCTCATTTTTCCCACCCTCAAAAGACTTTTTCCTACTAAACGATATCTATGCTATTCGGTCTTTCTAATATTTAAGCTCTTTCTAGATCATTTTCCTTCTCTCAATATTCACTCACTGCAAATATGTATTCAAATGGCATCACTCTACCATTTACTAAGCTGTTCAAGTCTTGCTTATGTTCCTCTCTCTCTCTCTCTCACTAGTTTACATCACTCTCAATGCTTTACAGTCATTGTGTGAGTCAGAGTTAGGGGTCGTTCCTCCTCATTCTCCATCTCTATATATACAATAAATACTCACTAAGCCCTTCCCTCCATCTACTCTCCTCTCTACGCTGTTTAGTCTTGATTAATCAGCTTCAATATGCCTCTCACTTTCACAAACCCTTTTTAAAGTTTTATTCCATGACTCTCTACACCCTAACTTACTCCTGAAACTCATCTTACTGCCCTCTCATTCGTTTCACAGGCCGCGTTCGCCTGGATGAGGAGATCACCATTGGTTCGCTGCGAGTTTTCGCCATTCTGCCAGAGCGACTGCGCGACTCGCAGATCAGCTGCATCGTGCGCTTCGCGGACTTCAGCAGCTATGAGATTGTGGCCGAGGAGGCGGGCGCCATGCACGACGTGCACAACAACAGCTTCGCCGCCTGGAGCATCATGTGTCCGTTGCACGTGGCCAAGAGCTCGCCCGTGCAGCTGCCGCAGGCCGTGGCACTGAGCTACGCCTCCAATCGGCTGAGTCATCTCAGTCCCAGCTACGTGCAGATCAGGTGAGTTGGCTCGATCGGGAGTATATAGTCTGCTGCTGCTGCTAATCGAGTTCTCCTTGCCAGCTATCCGCGGAACATGTCCGAGCTGTTTGCCAAGTCGCGTGCCACGATTTCCGTGTGCGTCGGACCCATCCAGGAGAACTACTCAAATGTGCTGCGCCTGGTCGAGTTCGTGGAGATGTATCGGCTGCAGGGCGCGACGCACTTCTACTTCTACTACGTGGAGGCCAGCGAGGAGGTGCGTCGCGTGCTGGAGCACTATCGGCTGCGGGGCCTGGCCGATGTCTTCGAGTGGAACGTGCAGTCGCATCTGCAGGATCTGCACTACGCCGGGATTGTGGCGCAGTTCAACGACTGCGTCTATCGCGCCAATGTCGTGGACAACTATCGCTATGCGGCAGTCGTTGACCTGGACGAGGTGCTGATGCCCCTCAAGCACAACTCCCTGGCGGACTATCTGCGTCAGTGCGACGAGGGGCGCAGCTCGGGCTTCGTCTTTCGCAACGTGTTCTTCTACCGCAAGGACAGCAACGACACCTTCAATGCGCCCGCCCACGTCATGAACCGGCTGCTCTACACCCAGTCGAAGGTGCGCCGCACCCTGGAGGTGCTGCCCGCCTACATCAGGAGCAAAGTCGTCGTCAACACGCGCGGCATTGTCGAGATGGGCAACCACCAGGTGTACCGCTCCGCGCCGGGCTACGTCGATCACATCGTGCACCAGACGGTCGGGCTGCTCTTCCACTATCGCGACAAGTGCATCAACTGCAAAATGGTGCTCATTGTGGACTATACGGCGCGGCGCTTTGGCTCGCTGCTCTTCGATCGCGTCGACGCCACATGCCTCGAGGTCTTCATGGAGCGAAATGGCATCTGCCAGCTGGCGTAGCCCCAACTGTGCCTTATCACCAATTGCCGTTAACGCCCCCAATGGAAGAGCGCCGAGTGTTGAGTGCTGCGAATCAGCGGAGCGCAGCTGATGTCCAGTCTGGAGTCAACTCTTGCAGTCGCAACATGCTTAAGTTCTGTTCGCTGCGTCGCGGGCAATCGAAGCCGACGTCGACGTCGCCAGCGGCGCCGCCTCTGCCCGCCAAACGTGTGTCCAAAAGTGTATGGCAAAATGTTGTGCTTAAGCTAGTCTAAAACAAACAAATCAAATGTGCTTTAAGTTATTTAAAATATAAATATATACTATATATTTATAATATATATACGTAATTGTATGAAAATTGAAATTGTTTTCGCTTTGGCCTTTGCAGTCGTCGCTGCGCCTGCAGGATGTCGCCTTGAGCGATGCGCAGCTGTTAAGTGTGCTCAAGGCGCAGCGTGCGCGCGGCCCTTTAATATTGGCGCTCAGCAGGTGAGCCACAATTAACAATTAACAACTAACAACCAACAACAACAGCTGCAACAGCCCACAGCAGCAACGAATCGAAATCGCATTTGCTTAATTTAATGAGCTTTCAGTGCACAAACAACAGCAACGAAAATTGTGGAACCGGAAACGGAAGTGGCGTCTTGCCAGCATTGTGGCACGCCATATTCGACTCGCAAAACTCAAGCAGAGCAAAATGGCAGCACAGCAACACCAACAGCAACAACAGCAACAACAACAGCAGCCACACTAACAGCAGCTGCAGCAGGTAAGCTAGCGTAGGCCTAACAGCACACTAACAGAGTTTAAGCGAGCACTAACAGTGTTGTCCATAGCGCACTAACAGAGATCTGTTCAAGTTAACAGCATGGCCTTTAACATTTTATGTGCTGCGTTTTGATTGCTTCTCTTTTGCATACGTTTTAGCTCCTACTAACTGTGTGTTGCACTATAGTTAGTTAGAGTAAGTAAAGTCCTAGATGTTAAGGCTCTGGAGTTCTATTAGAATATAAATAATGAAAATATATACATATAGTATACGAGCAGCAAACGTAGCGTTGCCCGGCTCACATTTTCTGTTAACGCTTGAAATGACTCATTAATATTATTTATGCAAGGCTAGATTAAGCATAATAATTTATATGAAATATATAGAAAATTACAATTGTAGTCCCAAATCTTGTAATATAAGATAAAATGTATATTAACATACTTAAAATTTTTCATTTTATTCTTTTTAAAACTTAAAACTTTAATACAAACATCGAATGCATGCCTCGCAGCTTCAAGTAGATCACAATTGACAACAATTGACGGTATCGCAGCGGGCAACTGATATCCCGGTGACTGCATTTGTTATCCTTCACTGTCCTTTGGATTGTCAGTCAATTGACAGGCACTCGGACAGCAGGTACTGCACTAGTCAAGTCCTGTCCAGTGACGCGACGCGACGAGTGAGCTCATTATTAACAACTGAAGAGCCCTAACTAGCCGTTTACCTTTCTCTCTCTCTCTCTCTCTCTCTCTCACTCTCCCTCTCTGTCAATAATGTCATTAAGCGGTTGCTGTTCACTCCTACTCCTGTTTACCTCCTCTCTCTCTCTCTCTCTCTCTCTTTCTGTATTGTCAACAATGTCAGAAAGCTGCTCACTCTGGCGTTCTTCCTCTTACCCTAATCCTACGTGTTGCCAGCGAACATTTCAGCGCATAAACGAAAACAAACCATAAAAAAAAAAACAACTATATATTCGTATACATGTATAACAAAAGCTGAAAAACAGAAAAACTATGCAACACTCGGCTCGCTGGGGCAATAATAATAACTGTCGTCTGTCTATATGCTGTGTCTGACCCCGAGACCCCTTTCATGTGCCATGTGTGCTCAGTTGCTTAGGCACGGGCACTGGCGCAATTGCAGAGGAAAATAAGGAGGGGGAGTGCGGGTGGGGGGTGGGGCACATAGGGGAACACGCCCCTGCCGCTGTCGCTGACTGTTGGAGCTTGACGCGTCAACTTGTGGCATTATGTGAATGAGCGAGAAACGTGGAGGAGCGGAGACCAAAGCGCCTAAAGCCGGCAACAGGCAAATTTCAATGCCACTTAAACAAGCCAATGAATGGGGTATATTGGGCTGTTGTAATAAGTGGAATGTGTAGGATATTTATATTTGTGAATATAATTTACAATTATAATTTATAATTTAATAATTTTACATAAACTAAATAAGCTGAAGTGAAATTTAAATTCTTCAAGTTTCTTTCACTGTAAACTACGAGGCCTATTCTGAAAGTACTAGAAAACTAGTTGCATGTAATGGGTAAGTTTAGGTAGAATCCACGCTGTACAACTTTTTAACTATTTAAGCTCATTCGCGAGGGTATTTTGTGTAATTTTCCAAAGAATTAGCGCCGATCGATTTAGTTCTAAGCAAACGGAAATAAGTTTAGCTAAAAGCCGATAATATATCTAATATATGACAGTATTGCTTATCTAAAGCACATAAAACGTAATATACGCAAATTGGCCAGTCTATAAAACAGAATGTAGATAAAGTTTGAGGGCGAGTCAGAAATTCGACGGGAAATCGAAGTAATGAAGAATTCTTGGTATATTAAAAAAAAAAGTGAGTCGTTTGCTTGCGTTATTAAAGTTCTCGTTAAATGGAGGTTAGGAACTTTGATAAAAAAATATATGAACAAAAATATATTATAAATTAAATAAATAATAGAGCGTAAAAAATATTTGTAGTTCAGAAATTTCGTAGAATTTTTGCTCTTGAATGCAAGCAAAAAAGCTTGATCAAAAACATATATTATTTATATAATTTAAATTAATTATTTTATATAATTTACAAAATATTATATTACAAAATATATATATTTAATTTAATAAAATCATATACATTTAGTTAGTTCAAACATTTCTCCAACTACTTGCAATCAAAACTTCTCGTACAGCCCGTGCAGCTGGCAGCACCACCCACTATATGCCAATCGTTGTCATCATTCTCCGCTCACTCCACATCATGCGCGAGTTTAAGCTGCAAGCCTGGTGCCCCTAAACCAGATGCGCACATGTACGAGTGCGACGGCGACTGCGTATGCGTTTGTATGTGTGTGTGTGTTTGAGTTTGTGTGTGAGTACTTGCGCTCATATGTGCGTGTGTGCTGTTTGTTTGGGCTCTTTTGTTTGGCTTGGACAGCGCAGCCCGTTGATTCTGGACAGTCGAGAATGATGGGGAGAGACAAACAGGCACACACACACACACACACACACACGTGTCCCCCTTCATCGCATATTGGGCTTTGGCTCCGCACCCTTTTTGTGTCGTGTGTGCATCTGTGTGTGAATTTATGCATACAAATTGGAAAATATATATCGGATCTGTGGTTCGTGCCCGCCAAGCGCAGAGCGCGTCGAAACTAACAACAACAACAGCGACAACACAACAACAACAAAACACAAACAAATCGTCAACAAGTCACGCCAAAAGCCAAAGCTGAAGCCGGCTTCAACGCTGCTCCCAGAGACGGCAGAGACTCGAGCCCATAGCACCCACCACGTTCGCTGACGTCGCAGTCAGCGCTGGCAGCAACAAGTCAGCGACAGGCTGAGCACAGTGGCACAAATTCAATTTGTGCAGTGCATCAAATAATACATAGTCAAATGAATGCAAATGGGCAAGGGATGAAGCAATAGAGAGAGCGAAAGTGAGATAAGACAAAGTGAAAAAGTATGACAATTATTAATTTCATATATACATATGTACGCATGTAGTATTCGTATTTTTGAATATACACATATAATTATCTTTATCTTTATTGAAAATAAAAGACTTGTAGATTAGATAAATTCTACATTTTCTTTGGCCATAAATTCTGCAACTTTTTCATACTCGCGTACCACTGTGCACAGACGCTAGCTCTGCCGCTGCCGGCGTGCGCGTCGCTGTCGCCAAATACGCCGTTGTTTTGTGCTATACGATACCGTAGGCCGCTGCTATTTAGTTACTACAGAAGTTTTGCCAAGTCAAGTTGTCGGCGTGAGTGCGAGTGTGCGAGAGAGTGAGCGAGAGAAAGAGAGTGTAAATACGCGAGTGCGAATTACGTGAGTGTTATTTTTGCACTAAGCAACAACAGTGCAAACGATGCTGATCACAGCAGCAACAACAACAACAACAAGAATAACAAGAAAGTAACAACAGTTAAGACGCGCGCGCGAGTTAATTTGTATTTTTTGGGCTCATCAATAGCTAACCGCTAAATGTTACCCGCTACCCGCTAGCCGCTAACCGATCAACGTTAACTGTTTACCAATTGCAAGTGCGCGTGTTAAGTGCGTGTGTGCGTGTGTGTGTGTGCATTGCAGCTGAAGACACTTCACCAGAGAGAAGACGAAACACGTAAGTTGTTAATTTTACTGCCCCTTGCCCTTAATTAACCCTCTAATCAAATTGGATCGCAAGTTCAAAGTTGAGTTTTTAATTTGTTTTTGGCTGCCCCTGCCACTATCTGAATCTATGCTTAGCCGAAACAAATCTTAACTGTGCTACAAACTGTTATACGCCATCGACCTTCGCTTCATTAAATATTCAAATCTGAAGTGCGATAAGCACTTATTAGGAAATATTTTTAACCATTTTTAACTATAAGGCGAAGATAGACCTAATGCTCGCCGCATATGATATGATAATTCATTATATACTATATATTTACATATATGTATGTATATATATGTATTTATACTTATTATTATGTGCCCAATAACCCAACCGAAAATGGTGCAAAATATGCGCTCCAAATTGTGTTTCTGCTGTCTGTCTCGCTATTTATATATGGATCTAGATAAATGTGTATGTGTAAGTGTGTCTAGTGTGTGTGTCTCTGTGTGTGTGATTTTTAATACGTTTTAAATTATAGTCCGCCGGGTTGTTCGAGTCGAGTTTTGGTCATAGTTCAATTAATTTTCTAATGACCGGATGCATGGGACATGCCATGCAAATGAAGTTTTTTGGGTCCCGGCTTTTGGCTATTTTTGTTTAGTTTAATAGAAATTGTTTTCAATAATAATTATACAATTTCACCTGTCACAGCAGAGAATTTCAACGTAATAAATCAGAAACTTTCATTAAATAGTGCAATTCACGCATATTAAGCATACGCAACGTGCGCCCAACAATGTAAATGTGTCTTTGCGCTTACTAGTATTTATTATTTATTATTCCGCTTTTGTTTACGATGACAAAATATTTCTGATAAGACAGCCGACTTTAAGTTTTTCGCACTTTATAGTCTATATACAAAAGTGTATATGTATGTCCCATGCGAAAATGAACTTCAGAATTTGTTGTCAATAAAATGATGCGTGTGTGTGTCTGTGTGTGCGATAGCAACAATAGCGCCTCAAATTGTTTAGAGCTCATAAAAAGGCAATTGTTGAGCATTGACGAATTGTTTACACTTCAGCTGCGTTTCGAGCACAACAAATACAAATGTATTTAAAAATATGTATATATGTATGTGCATATATTAAATTTATTAAAACTTAAATTTAAATTAAATAACAAAAAAAAAAAAAAAAAAACAATTATGTTTTTTTTTTGCTGCTAACTATTTAATTCATGAATATTTTAAAGCAAAAATATTTAAATCATTTTTGTCAATTCTTAATATTTCAGTCTAAAGCTTAAGTAAAATTAAAAATTACATAGTACTT